ATACCTGGTAAAGCCATTCTGGTCCATCAGGACTTGGTTCCTGTGTGCATTGTGAGAGCAGTTCAGCAGGGAAGGAAAGCTTCATGATGTGGTTGGTGAGATCTGCTGGAACTCAACCAAACTGAGCTGATGTGGACCATCAGAGGTTCTGCTGGTTCTTAATGGGATCAGCAGGAACATTAAATCTTTAAAACTACTTAGATCACCTGGTTCACTGCTCACATCCAGATGAATATTTCTTGACTTCCTAATTGTTCCTGGTTCCTCCACAGAGTGGACCAGCAGAGCTCAGAGGTTCCCAGGGGTCCATCGGTCCAGCAGCATCAAAAACAGCTGGACTCCATATTTATGGTCTGTATATGAACAACAAATACTTTTCCATGAGTTCTGTTCAAAGTCACCTTCATGCTGCACTTTGTAGACCAGAGGACTGTCAGTCTGTCCAACATCCATCTGGTGTTTGGCTCCATGATTTCACTCTGATGTTTCCTTCATCTATTATTCTGTTCCAGCTGCTGGAGGACAACATTGTTACTTTTGTGAAGAAAGAACTGAAGAAGATCCAGAAAGTTTTGAGTCCAGATTACCCAGAACATTCAGAGAGTCAGAGAGATGATGAGGTGTTGGAAGGTGATGATGAAGAGCAGAGGAGGAGCAGCAGAGAGGCAGTGATGAAGATCACACTGAACTTCCTGAGGAGGATGAAGGAGGAAAAGCTGGCTGACCATCTGCAGATCAGTAAGAGGATTTCTGCAGAGATTTGAAATGATAGATAAATTACACATTTGCTGAAGTGATGTAATCAAATGCAAAAGATGATTTTTGTTCAGATCTGACTTTCATTTTTGTGTTAATTTAGGACATTTTGCTGCAATTTGTAAACATCAACTTAAATCTGGTCTGAAGAAGAAGTTCCAGTCTGTGTTTGAGGGGATTGCTAAAGCAGGAAGTCCAACCCTTCTGAACCAGATCTACACAGAGCTCTACATCACAGAGGGAGGGACTGGAGAGGTCAATAATGAACATGAGGTCAGACAGATTGAAACAGCATCCAGGAAACCACACAGACTAGAAACAACAATCAGACAAGAAGACATCTTTAAAGTCCCACCTGGAAGAGATCAACCAATCAGAACAGTGATGACAAAGGGAGTGGCTGGCATTGGGAAAACAGTCCTAACACAGAAGTTCACTCTGGACTGGGCTGAAGGCAAAGCCCACCAGAACATCCAGTTCATATTTCCATTCACGTTCAGAGAGCTGAATGTGCTGAAAGAGAAAAAGTTCAGCTTGGTGGAACTTGTTCATCATTTCTTTAGTGAAACCAAAGAAATCTGCAGCTTTGAACACTTCCAGGTTCTGTTCATCTTTGATGGCTTGGATGAGAGTCGACTTCCACTGGACTTCCACAACAAGGAGATCCTGACTGATGCTACAGAGTCCACCTCAGTGGATGTTCTGCTGACAAACCTCATCAGGGGGAAACTGCTTCCCTCTGCTCTCCTCTGGATAACCACACGACCTGCAGCAGCCGATCAGATCCCTCCTCAGTGTGTTGGCATGGTGACAGAGGTCAGAGGGTTCAATGACCCACAGAAGGAGGAGTACTTCAGGAAGAGATTCAGAGATGAGGAACAGGCCAGCAGGATCATCTCCCACATGAAGACATCACGAAGCCTCCACATCATGTGCCACATCCCAGTCTTCTGCTGGATCACTGCTACAGTTCTGGAGGATGTGTTGGAGACCAGAGAGGGAGGAGAGCTGCCCAGAACCCTGACTGACATGTACATCCACTTCCTGGTGGTTCAGACCAAAGTGAAGAAGGTCAAGTATGATGGAGGAGCTGAAACAGATCCACACTGGAGTCCAGAGAGCAGGAAGATGATTGAGTCTCTGGAAAACTGGCTTTTGATCAGCTGCAGAAAGGAAACCTGATCTTCTATGAATCAGACCTGACAGAGTGTGGCATCGATATCAGAGCAGCCTCAGTGTACTCAGGAGTGTTCACACAGATCTTTAAAGAGGAGAGAGGTCTGTACCAGGACAAGGTGTTCTGCTTCGTCCATCTGAGTGTTCAGGAGTTTCTGGCTGCTCTTCATGTTCATCTGACCTTCATCAACTCTGGGGTCAACCTGATGGAAGAAAATCCACCTTCATTTTTTTTTTTTTTTATTTCAAAACAAATATAAAGTCTCTCCATCAGAGAGCTGTTGACCAGGCCTTACAGAGTCCAAATGGACACCTGGACTTGTTCCTCTGCTTCCTCCTGGGACTTTCACTGCAGACCAATCAGAGACTTCTACAAGGTCTGCTGACAAAGACAGGAAGTAGCTCACAGAATCAGGAAACAGTTCAGTACATCAAGAAGAAGATTAATGAGAATGTGTCTGCAGAGAAAAGCATCAATCTGTTCCACTGTCTGAATGAACTGAATGATCGTTCTCTAGTGGAGGAGATCCAACAGTCTCTGAGTTCAGGAAGTCTCTCCACAGATAAACTGTCTCCTGCTCAGTGGTCAGCTCTGGGTTTCATCTTAGTGTCATCAGGAAAAGATCTGGATGTGTTTGACCTGAAGAAATACTCTGCTTCAGAGGAGGTTCTTCTGAGGCTGCTGCCAGTGGTTAAAGCCTCCAACAAAGCTCTGTAAGGACACACATTGTTTATGCAGTTATTATTGATCAAGTGAAAACATTTAATGATGTGCTAAATATTGATTTATGTTGTTTTAGTTTTTTTATTGATGCATTGTCTCACAGATGTTGCCCACAGTGATACATCGGGAAGAAACTCTATTAATATGTAACATTATAACCATTACAACCCCATCATCATTATACATTATTAAAGAAGCAAAACTCATCTTTGTGCTAAAACTGAAACTGGATTAATTTAGTTTTATTGTGGAATTCAAAAGTTTTGTGTCCGTTCTCCTTGTTCTTTTTAGATCAGTCCTTTAAAGATTGTGACCCAACCATTGACCAAATCAATTCACAACAAAAGGCAACATAAATATGTGCAACAATAGATAGTTCCTTCAGTCTTTATAAAAAGAATATAAATGATTGGAAAGTAAAATATTGTTTTATGCATTATTTAATAACATATTTTCCTCCCTGTCTCCTCAGACTGAGTGGCTGTAACCTCTCAGAGAGAAGCTGTGAAGCTCTGTCCTCAGTTCTCAGCTCCCAGTCCTCCAGTCTCAGAGAACTGGACCTGAGTAACAACAACCTGCAGGATTCAGGAGTGAAGCTTCTTTCTGCTGGACTGAAGAGTCCAAACTGCAACCTGGAAACTCTCAGGTAAAATATTATCAGATATCTTACTGTGAGATGGGTAATCATGCTAAACCTTGACTAACAAACATGGCTGGTTTTCCTTCCCTGCAGCCTGAATGAACCAAGAAGAGAGAAATTTAGAAAGGTTGGGTTCAGGCTAACATTGATAGTGAAGCTCTGGATATTTGACAGGTTGCTGCATCCTGGTGCAAACAAGGAGCATTATTGCAGACCCTTCCTCCCAGCAGTTGTTAGACTTCCTAATACATTGTACATGTGACTAATGATTTTTATTACCTTCTGAACTGGAAGCTCTCAGGTATGGAGGAACCTGCTGCAGGAACAGAGAAAGTCTGATAGAGGAGGAAGAGGGAGAAATGTCTTTAGTCAGTCTGCTGGAAACATTTAGTTTGAAGCTAAATTTGTAGTTTGACAATTAAATATTTAGTTTGGAACAATGGGTTTATAATGAATGAATAAATGGTGAAAATATAACTTGATATTCTGAACATCATTTTGTCTCTTATGACAGTTGAATAACTAAAATTATTTCTGTTAATTTTGACTGTGTAACTTTACAAAGTACAACCTATTATCATATAGCATCATTTTTTACATGGTTCTGAATGAACCTGGGAAACCAACCCATCTACTGGAACCACAATGACATGTTGGTCAGAGCAGCAGGGGGCCAAATATAGCTCCATTACATCAACAGATATTACTGGTATTGGAGAGAAATAACTGAGATCAATTGCAGATTCTAGAATAAGTGGAAATGTTTCAGTAACAGGAAGAGAATGAGCAACATGTTGAAATAATCATCTATATTCAGAGAAACAAGTAGAGGAATTTATTTGGAATATATATAATACTGAATTGGTATTAGGGTTAGGGTTATATCATAACAGTGAATTCTTGAAAATCACTGTTATTCAGACCACAAGAGATTTTATAAGCTAAACGGTCATTAATATCTAAAATAACCCTTTGAAGGATCTGAATTAATATGAGTCACAAGAAGATTTTAATTTCTTTTGGGAGCAATAAGATGCTTTTTAATTTGAATTAAAATATAGCAGTAGAAAGAATAATAAATAATTAGAAATTACAGAAGAGATCATTATTATGAATGGTAGATTAGAACTGTATTTAATTTCCCTATATTTAATGTTTGTCTCGTGCTTGTTTTTGGATTGTGTTTGGAACTAATTTATTTCTATTAATTTCTATTTTTTCCCAGAATAGTTTTGTTGTAATTTCTGTTTAAAAATAGTTTTTGTGAGTTGCTGCTCAGTTTTCCATCTCTGTATCCAACAGTTAAAACATGTAAAGATGAAACTGGAGATTTGCTCTGCTTTGATTCAAGCTGCTGTTTTCCCTCAAACTGAGCCTGATGCTGATTTTCAGCCCAGCCTTGATTGGCCTTGATTAAATTTGTAGTTTGACAATTAAATATTGGACTCTTTCTGTTAAAACTGACATGGATTCATTTAGTTCATAGAGGAATTTAATATTTATCTTGCCAGCCTCCTTGTTGCCTTTAGTTCAGTCCTTCATGGCTGGAGACCCAAATATAGACTGAACAGTTTACAACAAAAGGAAACATGATTACATATAAAACAGTCCCTTAAATTATTAAAGAGGAACATTGTTGACTGGAAAAAAGACATTTTAATAAATTGTTTAATAACAGATTTTCCTCCCTGTCTCCTCAGACTGAGTGACTGTAACCTCTCAGAGAGAAGCTGTGAAGCTCTGTCCTCAGTTCTCAGCTCCCAGTCCTCCAGTCTCAGAGAACTGGACCTGAGTAACAACAACCTGCAAGATTCAGGAGTGAATCTTCTCTCTGCTGGACTGAAGAGTCCAAACTGCAACCTGGAAACTCTCAGGTACCTCTGGGCTCTTGACAAATTGCTGCATCTTAGGTGCAAAAAGAAGCACAATTACAGATCCATCCATTCATCCATCCATTCATCCATCCATCCATCCATCCATCCATCCATCCATCCATCCATCCATCCATCCATCAGTTCAGACCTTGGTCTCTACCTCAATGTTGTCATTTTCTCATCATGTGATGAATTGTGTGTCTGCAGCTTATCAGGCTGTTTGGTCTCAGAGGAAGGCTGTGCTTCTCTGGCCTCAGCTCTGACCTCCAACCCCTCCCATCTGAAAGAGTTGGACCTGAGCTACAATCATCCAGGAGACTCAGGAGTGAAGCTGCTGTCGGCTGGACTGAAGGATCCACACTGGAGACTGGAAGCTCTCAGGTATGGAGGAACCTGCTGCAGGAGCAGAGAAGGTCTGATAGAGGAGGAAGAGGGAGAAATGTCTTTAGTCAGTCTGCTGGTTTTCCCAAGGTTTGTTCCTGGAAGCTGCTGCTGGTTCCTCCAATCCAGGCTCCGCCCCCTTGAGAGGAAATCTGTCCATATATGGAGCTAAGAGTCACCTTGATGCTGCAAAGCTTTGTTCAGGGATGAGATGTCAGGATGTTGGTGTCAGTGTTCCAGGCTTTAGTTGTTCTCCTCATGAGGAGCTGAAGTCTCTGACAGGAACGTGGAGCTGAACAGGAGAAGAACTTGAAGCTTCTTCTTGGCCTCTGATTGCAACAGCAGGACAATCCAACATTTTAGTCTGACTTCATCTGGAAATATTTCTTTGACCCTCAATCAGTGTGAAGGCAGGCCAGCTCCTCATCACAGCTGAGATCTTCTCTGTCCTCCATGCTGGAAATGTAGAAGTCCAGCAGCTCCTGATCAGTGACATCAGAGCGTGACATCATCAGTAGAGTGATGATGTCATTTCCCTCTCAGAGCAGCTTGGAAATCTGAGAGGAAAGATGCAAACAAAGACTCTCTGGACTGTTGGATCTGCTGGTTCTGGTTCCAGATGCTCCTTGGACACTTTCACAAGCCATTACTGCAGCTGCTGGATTCAGGATGCTGCTTCTTCTTCTTGGGCTCATTGTAAATGTGTGCAGCGCCACCTGGTGGTGCTGGTTGGTAGAGGAAGTGCTGAAAGGTTGGAGGTGTTTGTCAGAGGTGTGTGATGATGGAAGCCTCTCCCTGGTTTGTGAGTCTGAGCTCAGAGATCAAAGATTTGATTCTTGTTGAATCTTTGTTGAATGTGATGCAGCTTCTCCTTTTTAATGTTTGTATTTCTGGATATTACAGTGAGGCCACAGCAGGTTTTCAGCAGCAGGGCTGTTTAGTGTTTCATTCCTTCATCTGTGTGTGGGAGTGTGGATGGATCAGGTATCCAGGTGTTGATCAGAGTTTAGATTGATTGTATTTAATGCTGATTATTAAATCAGGTTGAGCTTCCAACCTGATTGGAAGCTCAACCTGCAACCTGATGCAACCTGAGCATCAGTTTCCTTAGTTTCCTGATGTCCTTTTAGGCTTCAGTGAGTTTCTTCAGGTTGTTACTGAGGGATTTCCTTTCTCCTCTCTGTTGGAGCTTTTCCTGTGTTTGGAGAAATGAGTTGTGCTGCAGCAGCACCAACTGTCCTTCCTACATCCACTGCAGTTTGCAATCCAGATGTTGGACTGTTCCTGTCTCAGTGGAGGACAATGTGTGTCTGAGAGACATGTAATGTCCATGTTTGCTGCTGAAAGAGACTGATGGTCTGACCCCCCTCCTCCTTTCAGGGTGGAGCCTGCTGGAGGCCGATTCTTGACTCCAGGTCTGAGGAAATGTAAGTGTGTTTTTCATCTGATTCATGACAACAAAGCAGCTCACATTCAACCATCTTCAAACTGTCACATCACTCATTCAGGAGTCAAAGTGTCAATAAATGATCAATAACTGCAGCTGGATTGTGTTTGTTCTCTCCATCAGATTCCTGTCAACTCACCATCGACACAAACACAGTGAGCAGATTCCTCAAACTGTCTGAAGACAACAGGAAGGTGACATGGATGGAGGAGCTTCAGTCATATCCTGATCATCCAGACAGATTTGATTACTGGGCTCAGCTGCTGTGTAGAACTGGTCTGACTGGTCGCTGTTACTGGGAGGTCGAGTGGAGAGGAAGAGTTGAGATATCAGTGAGTTACAGAAGAATCAGGAGGAAAGGAGACAGTAGAGACTGTGTGTTTGGATGGAATGTTCATTCCTGGAGTCTGAGATGCTCTGATGATGATGTTGGTTACTCTGTTTGGCACAATAACATAGAAACTCATCTCTCCTCCTCCTCTGTCTCTAACAGAGTAGCAGTGTATGTGGACTGTCCTGCTGGCATTCTGTCCTTCTACAGAGTCTCCTCTGACTCACTGATCCTCCTCCACACCTTCAACACCACATTCACTGAACCTCTGATTCCTGGATTCTGGTTCTGGTCCAGTTCTGGTTCCTCAGTGTTTCTGAGCTGATTTGAGTCTAAAGAGTCTAAAGTTTCCTCCTGTCAGAGAAACTCTCTCACTGTTGAACAGATAGTTCAGTCTCTACAATCTATTTCTTGGTGAAACGATTCTGATTGAGTCCTTGGAAACTTTTTCTTCTTCCAGTCCTTTGAAGATGGAAGCTGGGATTATTTAGGATTATTTCAGGATTATTCCAGAATTATTCCAGGATCCTCATGTTTATCTGTTTGTTTCCAGTCAAAGCTTCACACTGAATATCAAGATGTTGTTTCTCTTATTTTTTCCTTTCATTCATTAGAATGTATTGCAATATTGATCAGTTTTTCTCAATCTGATCATTTTCTGTTTCTATCAGCTCCTATTTTTCTCAACATGTCAGATTTGAATATTAAATCTTCCTTCTGTAAATTTGCTGCAGTTTTTCTTCATGTGTTTTAAATAAAAACATTTTTCTTCTGCATTTGGTTCATTTGCTGCACATTCTGTTCTTTTCCTGTTCAAATTTAAATATTTGCATTAAAAATATTTTTCATCAACTCTGCCTTTCAGAAAGTCCTTGAGAAAGGAAAACATTCCCTTCCCATGAAGGTCAGAGGTCATTGCTTTGAAGCATAAAGTGGGAACATCTTAATATTTTGTGTTTCATTCAGAACTTCTACCTGAAACTCAGAACCTGCAGAACATTTTTGTCTTTGGAGAAAAAATCCCAGGAAACTGGAAGATCAGAGCAGAATGAAAACTGGAGATCAATGTTGGACAGAAAAGGTCTGATCGCTGCATCTCTGCTATATTTTACATCTGATAACAAAAGGTAAACCTGTTTTTAGCTGAGAATAAATCAACATGAATATGACCCACCACAGCTCCAACGTGGGCCACACCTGATTCAACCCAAAGTGGAAAATAAAGGATTTAATTTGAAATCCGAAAACACAGTAAAATCAGCAGCTGGTTGTGATTAAAATGCAGTTTGTTGCAGAGGTTCAAACTTCCTGATGGTGACCTCTCCTCTGTCCCTCACCTTGTCTGGCCGCTTTTAATCCTCACTGCAGTGTTACATGGAGCTAATCTCTCAGATTATACAGATTAACACTGAGCTGCAAGGAACCAAACGTCTCTCCTCCAACTTATTTCACTGATTAATAACAAGGTTGGATAAAAACATTGAGCTTCTCATTCCTTAAAGATCATGAAGAAAGACTCACCCTCTAACTGCAGGAAATAAGTTAGAAAGTTTAAAATAGATAAAAAAACTTTGTAAATATATTCTAACAAGTGATTTAATTTTCTATTTTTTATATCTTTTAATGTTTAAAACTGTATAAAAAAGATTTAAATGGTTAAATGAAAAATCTTCAGAATGAGCCAATTTCAAATCTGATTAATCGTCACAATAACTGAATAATCAGCAGAATAATCAATTAATTGTCAAAATAATCTTCAACATTGGGTCATTTAAATACAGGTTTGTTGAACCAAATTAGTTTCCAGCAGTTAATTGTGGTTTTTACTGGTTATTCTGCCAGCTTGAATGTTTCACTGCAGTTTGTTTTGTTCCTGTTGCCTCCAAGCTGAACGTTGATCCCATGAATGTTTCCCCTCATGCAGAACCTGAGCAGAGACATTTATGACCTTTATAGTACGAGAGCCAAGAGGTGGAGGACTGGCTGCTGGTGTCGCTGTCTCACGTTCTGATGTCTCCGACCAAACACTCCACCCTCAACATCAACATGTAAAAACACGCTGCAGGAATGCAGTTTTCCTACTTTCTCACTTGAAACAATCTAGTCTAAATGTTACATACAGGGAAGCATCGATATGAAGATTTGGGCCGAAATATTGATGTATTGACTGATTACGGATATTTACACTTTCAAATTTGGACTAAATTCATCAGGAATTTGGTCCATTAAAAGTGTTAATAATAAAAGCAAAAGCTTCTGCTGTTAATTGAGTAAAGTCTGTTTCCACTAAGAACTGTGAGCGTTTCCTCCAGTCTGTGTTCGGCTTTAATCTCCTGCAGGAAACCAAACCTCCACGTCTCCACTGGAGTCGCCGTGGCAATGCCTTTCAAACATCAGGATATTGGGTCGAGACCGGACGAGAGCCGATGATTTGTTTTATTTAGAGCCGCATTCATCCATTCATCATCCCAGATTTCCTGCCATGCAGATTAATCTCCACTAATCTGACAGTTTGGAGACCAAATGTCACAAACTGGGATTAAGATGTTGAGATGTTGAAATCTGTCACACAGAGAAAAGAAACTTCATGATGCTGTGATTTATTAATCTGAAAAACTTTTTAATCTCATTTAATCTGATTAAGGTGATTTTTACATCAGTTAATTGAACTGATTTTGGCTCATTTTATCCTGTTATATCCAGTAAATTCATGTGCAATTAAGAAAGAATTATTTTGATGTCTTTTCTAGAAAACCCCTCAAAAATCCTACATTTGCTCAGTGAAGGTGTAGATAAGTGTCTGTAGTGTAAATGATTGAAAAAACACAACAGGAAAATGCAGATTTTTCATGTGAAAGCAGGTAAAGTGTAGAAACAGGAACACTGACAGTCTATCTGCTCAGGAGGATTGTTGAGCCTCCTGTCAGAACAGTGATGGTTCAAATCTTCACTCTCCACTTCGACCACTGGACCAGCAGCAGGTCTTTGGCTGCAGAGCCTTTCAGAAACATCTGAACCAGCTGTTGAACTGGACCATGTCCTCTTCGGGGTCAGAGGTTGCGGTCTTGATACTTGGTAGAGTGAAGTTTTCCTCCTCACTCTGTTGTTGTGGAGTTGGAGGTCTGATCTAGATGGACGTTACAGAGAGGCTCTGGTTCTCCCTCAGTGGCTGCTGGGGATTCAGGTTGTTCCTTCCTGGACTTTAGCAGTTGTGTTGGTCATGAGCAGCAGCTGGATTGGCCTCTGGATTGAACTCAGCCAGCATTTGGAGCTCCAGAGCTTCCTCTGAAAATCCTTCATCACGACCCGTCGCCTGGTCTGATGGAGGCAGCAGGCCTTTGGCAGGAAATGGCAGGAAGGTTTTCACTGTCTGTGAGGCTCGACAAAGCCTAGTGGACAGGTTTTCACAATAAGACAACACAGGAACAATCTTTTATCTATTTCATTTTCAACCTTAGTTGGTGAGATTTGACAAAAATCCAATATTAAGTGGACAAAATGTGAGTCAGGTAGAAAAAGTGCAAAGGATTGAAGCATCTCAACATCAGCAAGTGTGAAAGAAGGGGCAGTTACTACCTGAGGCCTCTAGGCAGCTAGCTTAGCAGCAGCATCAGCTCTTGCATCGCCATTGGCAACCGAGTCATCCAGCATCCTGTTACCAAACAGAACCTCCATTCATTATTTTACCCATCTACACTGTAAATTATAACATATTTATGTGAGAACGATGGTGAATCAACTGAATTTGGTCCAGATTTATTTTTGTGGTAAAACTCCAATTAAAGGAAGCCTAGTAAAGGTTTAAGTTTATTGTAAAGTCCAATTTTAAGTTTAGTTTAAAACAGTAAGTGATGAATCTGTTTTCAATGGATTTAATTAATCCAAAACATTGTGTAGCATATTATGTGACATTGGGGATCAACCAGCAAAGCATCCCATGATGCATTTCATCAAAAGCTTCATACATTATATTGTGCATTATGTCATAACAGAAGCCATTTGCTATTTCCATTCAGTAATTTCCAAAGAAAGAATTTAAAATCTTCAGAAGCTTTGACTTTAATTGTTTTGTTTTTTAAGTAAAGAGGAAGGAATGGAATCTAAAGCAGCTAGAATGTTGGTTTTATTAAAAGTGTTTTATGTCAATATAAAAAGTAATTTATACAAATAAATTCCTTATTAATATAAAAAGTAACTAAAATATTTAAAACCCATTTAAACTGTTTTATTAATCTTTAATATGTAAATACTAACAATAAAAATTAATGCTCAGTTATTATATAAACATCCATTTATTCTATCAAGCATGACAGGTTTTTTTTTTCTTCCTAAACTAAAGGGAGGGGTGATAATGATGAGCATTGCTATGGAAACTGAAGGCGGGAACAAATCTAGAAGGTGGGAGGAGCTAGGAGGTGTTAGTCTCAGACAGGTCAAAGGTCGACTGTAGGCAGTCCTACTTCCTCCTCACACTGTTAGAATCAACAGAGCAAAATATCATTTTGGTTGCCAAAGTATGAAAAATTAAAATTACCATCCTGAAGACAAACTAATTTCTCAGATCATCTCATGCAATATTCCTTTAGAAACTTAAGCTGCTTAATCAAACACTAACTAATTTTAGTTTAGTGAACAATATTTACCAAACACAAAACACAAACATTCACTTCAACATGAAACAGACAAACAAATAGTCAGAATTTGGAATCAGTCAAAATTTCATCCCAGTCAATAATTTCCAGTCAGTCCTCATTTTGTCTATTTTCTCAGAATGTAATTATCAAATTTACTGAAGCTT